CGGAGTGAGGGTAAGACCCCATTAGGAAAATTAATCAATTTTATGACTTTATTGCATTATAAAGTCTAAATATTGAATACAATATATACGAACAATAATGATATTTCCAAAAAGAACAAAAATCAGAAAATAATCAACAATATATGAAATAAAAAAATTTCCATTTCAAAATTTCATTTTGTGTTACTAGCGTCAAAGACCGTCTTAGTCATTATCAAGAACAGATGTGAATGTTTTCAGTTTCCTAGACAAGATTTTGGGGCCACATCCTGGCATCTCGGAATTCAAGAGTTTATATGTAGCAAATGTTATTAGTATTATTATTTTATACGCATATTAAGTATTTTAATATACACTTTAGAGTATTGTCTCTTGGAGATAAAGATATTTAATGCGAGAAATCATGGTTCGTACATATAATAATGCTGTGCGTCCTATATAATATTTAGGTATTTTATGCAAATAGTTGTAATTCAGATGTTGCGATGATAGATATGTACATGAATTGCATATATATATATATATATATATATATATATATATATATATATATGTGGAGATCAGTCGATTCCGCTACCTTGGTTACAACCTTTTGATATCGTCAGGCGGTTAGTATCAGTTGATTTCCCAACACTTTATTTTTGAAAAAGTTATAAATTAACACTTTATTATTTTAAAAAATAAAATAAAGAAATGCACGACGTTGGATATGATAGGAAGGGAAGAGGAGTATACGAAGAAGAGGGAGAATGGTTTAGCAGGAGGAGAGGGAAAGAAAGGGTATTGTAAATGTATAGGTGAGGGTGGTTAATTGAAATGTTTATATTTTTATCCAGCCTCATATGAACTTAAGAGGATTTTTTGGCATGACTGCAATGGTCTATAATTTCGTATCTTTGATTCAAACGATTTTAGCATCTGGAAATATCATTACTGCTAACTTTTCTTGTGTTATTATAGGACCATACATCCCGCATTAAATATCTTTAACTGCTGGAGACAATACTTCAAAAGTCATGATTTAGTTACTAATATTTAGTTTTAATTTCAGAAACATAAAGTTTGTATTTGGTAATATGTACGTCGTAGGCTAAAAAAAGATGTATCAAATTTAATGAATAATGTGAAATATTGAACAGAAATAACCGAGTAACCAAAATAGAAATTCAAAACATCACTAAGATATGACAAGCCGTAAGATATAAAAAAAAATGGTGTTGCGAATGTAGATAGATAAAAAACATATAAATTATTAGATTGTCTAAAGATATGAAAATAATGAAAGTACCAATAAGAAAATCGTGTAAGTTGAGACATGGAAATCGATTTCCTAACAAAACTTTTTGTGCTAAAGTTAGATCCATGCTGGATTGAAATTATCAACAAACACTTAGATGACAACAGAAAAATTTTGAATATTTGGGACCGTATTTTAGATATTAAAATTATTAATGTAAAGAGAAATGCAAAGAAATATTGTAATTTCTGAAGTAATACGTTCTTTTGTTTGGTACAGTTCACAACAAAGTAGATTGAAGCTGCAGAATATATTCATGGAAGCCAATGCTCATTCACATTCTGCAAAGTTCACTATTAAATTGAGATATAATATGATTGTTGTAAAATAATATTTCATCAAAATTATATCTAGGAAACAATAAAATCTCTAGTAATTAATGTTAAGGTCGAAACAGTAGAAAAGTTAAGAAAATCAAAGAATGAAAGATTAATGAAAGCTAGCAGTATAAACGGTCTTTGACCGGGTCTTTCATTACTGGGAATTTTTGCAGTTCACTTGGAGCAGTTTAAAGTCAGGTGACCCGAAAATCAATATTAGTGACAATATTTGGGTGAAACTGAGGCACATCCCCAAATGGGGTGTGGCCCTGAAAAGGGAACTGTATAATAATATTATTATTGTAATAATTTAAACTATTTATTTTTAGTAAAGTTTTTTATGAAAGATATATATCCAAGAACAGATAGTAAATAGTAAAACGTTGCTGAGAGTTATAATGGACAGGAAGTAGTGGAGAGCCATTGTCACCAACAATTTGGAATCAAAACCGGCACTGTAGAATTATTTATCGGAACTGTAGAATTATTCATCGGAATCGAATGAAGACTGTGGAGATGCATAAACAACATCCGATCACACACAGACACACACATACATTTTGAGAATTATAGATATAGATTATAAAATATCAAGCCAGTCATATTAACTTTCTTCAATTAAATGAGATATTGTGTTAATCAAATATATTTTCCTATGTCTATGAATATATATTTTGGAACTTTATTTGTATAATAATGCTTACAACTGCCAAATATTATCAATATTTTGAACAATCTGAAACACGATATATTAAATATAACAATATTCTGAACTTGTATAAAACAAATCTGACATAGTGTATGAATATAAAAATCAAACTAAATTACAAGATTGTGTATAGGTCAACTGTCAACTGACTTAAAATACAGTTTAACCACTCGACATGTACACGAGTATCAGCGGTCTTGAACCAAGTGGTTGCGCAACATTCGCTCCATTCGTCTACGTGGCTTGTGTGGGTTGTGGTTGAACAAAGAATGAAAGCATTGTTACTAACTCACCTGACACCCTTCTACATTGTTACATATTACTATGTAACTGGACAGTAGATTGATCAATCGATTATGGATTGCAATTACAAGGACATTAAAGACAGTTGTGTCTATTCGACCGAATGCTAATTCATAACGATTACACTGGATTCAAAACTCGGCTTTATGCCAACCCTAGGAACAAGGTAAGGGTGGTGGACAGTGTGGTCACTGCAGTACTTAATGAACCTTAATCAAAAATTGATATTGATTATCGATTTCGCACCTTTTTGTCTTGGTCAGTGACGCACATGACACATGACATGGCACAAATTAGTCCAGTTTTAACTTCAACATTTTTCTTTAATTTTTTTTTTACTTTCTTTCTTTTTTGCTTTTCTTTGTCTCTACCTTTTATTGATTTATTATTTTATTCTTTCTTTCATTTTTTTTCTGTACAAGGAAATGCTGTAAACCCATGAATCGTGAAGACTATTTCACATATTCATCCCGGTGTCAATGCCCTTAGATCATCTTTTCATAATTAACCCTAAATTAACCCTTTGGTTTTTTTTTAAAAAACATTGTTTTGCAGATGCTACCATCTCTGAAGCATTCAAAAGTTCATCTCTTTTAAGATTTGGAAATTGAAAAAAATAACGTAGCCATGTCCCTTCTGCTGTTTTTTTTTGGGGGGGGGCTTGAAATTATGATGACGTCGAGAACTCCTGCGGCCACCACTGCATGTCATACCCAGATCATAGCAGTGTGAAGCAAGTTTCATTAAAAATGATATTTTTCCAAAAGCTTATCACTAGATATCTAGAAATGCTGCAAACTCAAGTTGGAGGTGTCCACATAATATTGTTTAATGCCGACATTAAAACTTTTTGGTACTCACTGCTTCTGTATAAGCAATTGATCATGAATTTATGAACTTAACGTCTCTCCCACCCCCATGATCTGTAGTGTTTCAGTAATACATCTGGCTGATATTTGGGGATCAGTTAAGAATTAGGTCATGAAGATTATCAACAATTTCAGGATTGTAAAGCATTGAATTCTTCCCAGACTATACTGTATTTTGTTTTGAGCTACTGCCTGATAGAAATTGCCAAAATTGAGTATAATGGGTACTTGTGAATCATTGGTTTTACCAAAGATATAAAATAAACGTAAGGAACCTGCAGAATACACTTTAAAATATAGTAGAACTTTCTTTCCGAATAAAACGTCAAAATTTGTCGAACCGAGGACTTTTCATCACGCTTTGGTTTATTCCTTCTTTCATTTTTATCCCATTTTCCTTTTCTTTCTTCCGTTCACTTTTTCCTCTTTCTATTTTGTTTTCATTCTTTTTGTCTATCGTCTATTCTTTTTTTTTTCTTTTCACTAATCCCGTTTCTTTATTTCTTTGTCTTTCTTTTAAGCTTTCTTTTTCTTTTTTGTTTGGTAATTTTTTTAAACATTTGAATATTTTGCGATATATGTGATTCGTTGGTTGTTTTTATTTGTCTTGTTTGTCCATTTGTGTGTTTAGTCATCTTAGTTTATTCTCTCTGTCTTTCATTCCATGATTTCTTTGTTATCTCTTCTCCCTGTATCCTTTAAGACTTCGATTCTTGACAGCTGCAGATTCGGTTGATCATCACTGGCGATCATGTGATAATAAGTGTCGTCATATCTTTGTGACGTTCTTCTCATTATTCATGCAAATTTTAATCGTAGAGTAGATTTTTCTTGTCTTAACTGTTTCAACCTGTTAGCTAGGCATATTGAGATTGATCCGAGTACGCCAATGATTGTAGGTACTACCTTTACTTTAATATGCTATAAAATTAGCATTTCCCCGGCATCATTCTGGTATGTTATCATCTCCTTTTGCTTTTTACTTTTACCTTGTGGTATGTTCGAACGGCTATATCTAATATCTGCTGTAGTCTCATCACACAGTAATTATGTCTGTTACTCTCGACTGGATTACATTTCCTGTCTGAGACAATTACGTCGAAAAAGCGCTGATCATTTATTTCTCACACAATCATCAGATTAACTTGGAGATGATCCAGCTGAAAGCTTTTCAACTTTTTTACTGGTGAGTTATAACGCATCAAATATTGATATATATACTGATCTTTAGAATCATCATTTTTTCGTTTGTTACTAAATTAAATTTTTTTGTCAAATTATTTATTTTTATTCTCTTGAGACATCGATATTTCGACTAACGCACCCTTTTACTATTAACGTTGTCTTCCCTATTGAAATAATTTCAAGTTTAAAAGCTAAAAGTTTAAAAACATGATAGACAACAGTTAAGTAAGGCTGAGGATAACAAGGATGGATATATATTTCCGAAAGTTTAATCACTATTTCATATTAACCATCAACCCAAATACATTAGAAATATACTAATCTAGTTTATTCATTATTATGCACGGGCATATACATGGAGACAATCTCTCCCAGATAGATAGATAGATAGATAGATAGATACTAAATCTGGTTTAGTCAGGAGCAAAAAGAAGAATTGAGAAAATTTATTAGGCACCAATTCAATAAAATGATGAGTTTGGGAATGCACATTCAAAATCCGGCCTTTTATTTTTTTTATGATCGAACCCATAAATATCTGCTTGAATAAATTGTGGAAATAATGAATGCATTCTATTTCAGAAATTAAACCAATATTCTTGGATATGCCTTCATTCGAACTCTGCAATTTGGACAGCACAGTACATCATTCTTCATAACGCTGCCAAATGAAAACCATGTGTTAAAGAATCCGGACTTTAGGATTCTAATGAATAGAACGCGTAACAAAATTAAACAGAAAATAGAGGAATGTCTTTGTTCAAAACACTGGGACAAGAAAGGTGATATTCGTAATCTTAATGCTATCAGAGTGAGCAATACAAATGTTGAAAAGTATAGTCTATTTCATTAACATAAAAGCATTTAGCAAGATAAGGTACAAGGAACCCCTTGAAATATTAAAAACATTATTTACTTTGAAAAGATAATTAATCCGTGATCAATACTGCAAAGAATGATTTTACTAAATATACAATAATTAAAAAAAAAGTGGTGTTCAACAAGAATGAGCTGGATTTAACCTACAGTGAGACGATTCTAAAGGGTTTAAGAGACCTACTAAGATTTATTTTAGACGGATATTAACAATACAGATGACACTGTTTTCAGATTCAAAAAGAATAATTATTCAAGGTACTGGACGAGGGGGAAAATATCTAAACCTGAATTGTAAGAAAACTAAATACATGGTTGTCTGCCAAAAAAAAAAAGCCCAAGATGTAAGTTACATATAAGGGAGATCAAATAGAAACAGACTAGAAGATATAAGTATATAGGATATTTAGTAATGGTCGACGGAAAGTGCGTCAGAGAATTCCGAAGGAGAATAAGAAAAGAAAAATGGGCTTTTCAGAAATTTATAATAAAGATATAAGAAAATGTGTTTAGAAACCAAGAAAAGAGTGCTTAACTGTAATATAATATCTAATATTGTATATGGCAGTGAAGCTTGGAGAGTTTCCACTCAGAAACTTGAAAATTTTAAATCAATAACTACTGTAAGGAAACTGCTGTTGGCAATCAGAAGAGAAAGCTAAATTGTGTTGAGACGTATAATAAGAAAATATAGCTTGGAAAATATAACACCCACAGGGAATTCTGGAGATAAAATAACCAGTGAATAATCTATTTATCGAATCTGATTAAAAGGATGCGGCACAAGTTTCACAAAGACAAAAATGGAGTGTGAATGTTAAGACAGGAAGACGTGAAGATCCATGACCACGCATCCTGAAATGCTACAGCACACAAGGAAATCAGTGGCGAGAGATCTGAATGCAAATCCATAAATTGATTAATTGATCCCAGATAAAGAAAACGAAGAATAAAAAAGAAAGGAGAAAAAGAGATGAAAATGAATGAAATGAAATTATGAAAGAAAATATAATAAAGGAAAGGTTTTGAAATTTCACGAAGGAATAGATAGACGTTTTAAAAGTAAATACTTAGAAGGAAGAGGAAAATGAACTCTTTCAAAAACAGCTCTCCTTTCATTCTTGTCAAATTCATAACAGACAAATGAAATCGAGAGATAACGAAAAAAGTAAGAGGATGAGAGCTTTACTGGTATCGTGATTATTTCAAGTCTACGACCAATGGAATCGAGCAGTACACCAGCCAAAAACTGTGCTAAAACAGAAGAATGGACAGAAGCAGAAAGGAAAACAATTAGATGAACAAATCGATGGAACGGCAAATAAATCGTCATGAATATTGCTGCATAACGTAAGTCTAAAGAGAGAAACTCAGTTACGTTTAAAAAAAAAAACCCCGCTGCCATAAAAACCATTTACTAGAATAGATAGAGCAGAGGAAATCATCAAATGTAGACTGCGTGGAAATAAAGATAAGACAATTAGCCACATAATTACATAATTGTAGCCGAGAAAGAATACAAGAATAGGCATGACAAGGAATCGTGCAAGTGTCACTATTTTGACCATACAGACCAGAATATACCCTAGAGAATGAAACGCGAAAAATCTTTTGGGATTTTAAGATTCAGACGGATCGTCGAACCCAGGACAGAAAACTAGATCTGATAGTCTTCAACAAAACGAAAACATTCCAGTCAGTGAACTTCATTAATCCGAAAGATTAAAGAGTGTATATGAAAGTAAGTGAAAAGATACATAGTTATCTGGATTTTGCGAAAGATGTATGGATGTTGTACTATACGAACAGTCATCCAAATCATTATTGTAACACTAGGAACGGTCCGAAAGCCCTAGGGATATCTCTGGGGGAAATTAACGAATGTGTCGCGATCAATTAGACAAGATATTATTCACAACAGGGAGAATATTAAAAAGATTATTAAAATATAATCTTGTTAGACTTGGTTACGACAGAGGTAAAAATATGATGAGTGAACAATCATTTAATTTGCTTGTTCTTTTACTAGTTAGTCAGTTAGTACGTACGTTATAGATTAAATAGCCATAAATTCTCAGTATAGCAACAGTAGACAGATTTAATTTCTAACCCCTTTTTAAACTTCCGGTAAGCCTCATTTTGGGTGGCCTTGAAAATGTATATATATGCTTGTAGAAACAAAAGAAGAAAGAGAATGCGATAACACTCTCTTGAGATTAATGTCTGCTTCAGCGAAATAGAAAACCTTGTTTCACAGAAAAACATTCTTCGCAAGAGCCGCTACTTTGTGGAACGAACATCCGAGCGAATGCTTTCCCGATCACTACAGCCTTAACGTCTTTAATTCGATAGTTAACTGTAAGCTTTCCAACATATCGCCTTAAACTACACTCTTTAGCGTCTACTCTTATCATTGATACAGCAACCTCCTCAAACAACTCAAGGCCCATTAGCCACTCAAGGTAGAGTGGCTATTAAGTCTTGCATTGGACTAATATTAATATCATTTTTTAAAGTGAATACTTATGGAATTCACAAGGCACTTAAATGGTATATGCAGAGTAATGCAGAAAAAGGTGCAACAGAAAGGCAGAGGGATTGACCAATATGATGTTTCATCAGAAAATTAAAATAGAAAAAATTATGAAATATTCACGGGTTCTGCCAACTAACTTGAATGAGAGCTGGGAAAATGCCAAATAAGAAATCATGAAAGAGGAGAACGATAATTGGAATACAAAGAACCGTATGGATATTTGTAGCAGCGGACCACAGACGAAAGGATGCGAAAAGAAAAATAGCATGAAAGTTACAGTCGTACCCGTAATAACTACAACACTTGAGATCATGGCAACAATTTTAAAATCGAAATTGGGTTAATCTCATGTAAGAAGAGTGATCCCGTTTTGTGTATATATCTAAAGTACTGAAACTGGTGCTGTAGATTTCCAGCGATATCTATTTGACATCTCGTGTGAACATGAAGCTGCTGTAAATGCAGAAAAAAATTGCAATAGAAAGGTAGAGTAGTTGACTAAATTGAATAATGATGTTTGATATGACAAAGATGGAGAGAAAATTGAAAGAAATCAAGGAAAAACCGGAAGGGAAAAGATTCTAATTGGAAATAGACAGGACAAAGTAGAGATTGTAATATCCTAACAGCTTCGTGATAAGAAGGTGGGTTCGAATAAATAAAAAAATAGTCTTGGGCCATCCTATAATAAAACAAATAATAAATACTCATATCTCGACCGATTGTCCAAGTAGAGAGGTCAAATCTTATAGTCAGAAACAGTACAATTGTAGCAGTATGACTGTATTAGAAGACCACAGGTAAAATAATAAAAAACAAAGCAAAACATATTAGGCCCGGAAATGAAACACAGTATGCTACATGAAGTTAACGGTCATTTCCTTACTAATTGTTTTACTTGCAACTGTAAATTCGAATTGTATGCGAATGTTTTCAGGCAAGTAAAGGAGGAACCCCAGCTCTGAGGTCTAATCGGATATGTCGGTCTAACATGTTGGCTCGAGACTCAGTCAACCACAGTTATATATATATATATATATATATATATATATATATATATATATATATATATATATATGTGTGTGTGTGTGTGTGTGTGTGTGTGTGTGTGTGTGTGTGTGTGTGTGTGTAAATTTTCGTCTAGCGGCCCCTGAATATTCGAAAATCATATTCTAGGAAAAGAATATTTCTCTCCCATTCAAACCTGCATCTCTCTGAGTGAGCTATAATTAAATCTGGCACGCTCTGACCAACTGAGCTATAAATAAGAAATTAGTCAGGGAAGGCTCAAAATGTAATTTAAGTATCACTTCTATCGTCATCGATTTCCCGAAATTTTCATATCATGGAATTTTATTAATCCGACAGATTATAATAACTTTAGATGTTGTTTTTAGTGGATACTCGTATTTGAGTAGACACCCCTTTTATTTTTCAATTCTTTACGACAGTGAATCCTGCACGATCTCCTCAAAGATGAAGAAAAGACTCGACATAACAGTGGTAGGGTTCTACACAAGGATACTAAGGATAACATTGACCGAACATGTGAGCACCTACGAAGTTTTGGGGAAAATGCAAACAAAGAGGCAGCTGAAATTTCTGGGACACGTAATGAGGAAGGAGGGCTTGGAAAATCTGATACTCACAGGGAAGATAAAGGGATAGAGGGACAAGAGAAAGTAACGCGTGACATACTTAGCAAGTGGGAGACAGAGTCTGTTAAAAATAACAAAAAGTCAAAGCTTATTGAGAGATACAAGGGACAGAAGGAAGTGGATAGCCATGATTGCCTGCAAGGACATGTCACATAAAAGAAGAAAGAAGATATATATATATATATATATATATATATATATATATATATGAACTAAAAATAAATATACTTAGCTAAGTATAATTTTGATTATTACGATAATTTATGTCTTTTTAATAAAGTATTTAATCATTGGTAACAAACAGTTGTTAGGATTATGTTGCTCAAATGTATCCCTTTTTATAAAAGTGAAACTATCAAAATAGTTATAGCGTTTTTTAACGTTTAAACATTGCCACGTTATATCATTTTTAGTATAGAACAGATTTTAAATTTATTTGGAGTCACTTGTTTGACGTCTTTATACAACGTGTTTAAATGAAATATAAATATATCTGTACTTCATTCACTAGATTTATCTCACAGTGACATATACCCGCGAAACATGAAGTCGGAAGATAAATCCTTTGATCTTTTATTTATCTATTAACTATGTCAGTGAACAGACTTGAAGCAACAGAAATATGGTTCTACAGAAGGATGATGAGGATATCATGGACTGAACATGTGGGCAACAAGGTTTTAGAGAAACTGGAAACAAAAAAGAAACTTATACATAACATCAGGAATAGACAGTTGAAATTTCTAGGGCATATAGTGAGGAAGGAAGACTTGGAAAATCTGATACTCACAGGGCAGATTGAGAGACAGAGGAAAACAACGCATAACATACTTAATGAGCTTTAGTAAATAGATGGTGGAACAGAGCTTAGGAGAAATAAAAAAAAATCTATTAAGAACTATAAAGAATAGGAAGTTGTGGAGAGCCATGATCGCCTATATCCTGAGAGGACATGGTACATAAAGAATATATATATATATATATATATATATATATATATATATATATAGAAACAGACATAATATCAAACAATATTCGGAATGTTGAAGAATACACCAGTTAAGCCATGTGCTCAAACCACAAGGATGCTAGGACTTCTTCAAATAATTTCTTCAATCAAGATTTACTTAATGAATTATGCGCGACAGAAAAATACTCATGAAATTCCTAAACACAAATTCCATCCATTGCCTTCGTTTATTCACTTTCTTCTGTTCCTCTTGGGGAGTTTTTATTTGTTTTTGTTTTTATACTCTCTCTCTCTCTCTCTCTCTCTCTCTCTCTCTCTCTCTCTCTCTCTCTCCATTATTCCTTCTTTTTTTTATTTTCCATTCTTTTTTTTCTTTCGTAGGTCTTTTGAATCTATGTTTCTTTCGTCCTTCATCTTTCCATTTTTTCCCCATTTCTTTTCATTTTTTTTCACTACAATTTCCCAGTATCCCCATTAACCGCACCATGCTGATGCCTACCTTAAAGTGCTGTGATGCTAAATGCATCCCTTAAGTATATAGACACTTTCAAAGCTCTGCATCAATATTTTACAATAAGCAACAATCACTTTGTCTATTATGTTGACTATCGAAAGCAGATCAATAGCTCCTTGACAATTCATACCTATTAGTAATTGATTTACCTGTTTCTATAGAGATGCTTAATCTTGGTAGACATGTGATGCTTTTACTTTGGTGCCAATTTTAATGTCCATCACGAGTTAAAATAGAAAATTAGACCAACTTCTTGAGATCAAAATAATTTTATTCAATTTTCAGTTCTAATTTTTAGAGTATTTTATGAATTTTACTTTGTGGATCAAGTGACATTACGTCTCTATCTCTTTCCTCACCAATCGCTGACCCCGACACTGCTGTGGTTTCAATATAATCTACATTTACTTGGATCTCCGATTTCATCAATCTCGCCATTTGTGCTTATCGTCCCTAGGATATCACTCATTATACACATGATGTACGCTTTTATCTGAAAAAGCTTCTTCAATTCTGAGTAAGGTCTTTAGTAGAATTTCATTTTTTTTTCCTCACTTATTGTTAAATTCATCTGAGACTGGGACCTCAAATGTTTGAGAGCATTTGTTTAGAAAATTATCGATAAAGTACTTTGCTTACAAATAATATTCATAGTACGGTTGACACCAAGTCACTTGCATAATTCCTACTGAACTACTGTTCCTACTCAATGATTATATTCCTTTTTAGTATCTTG